ACAATTAAATATTTTTAAATGGATAAACCCTTGGCAGGTATCGGGTGTCATTAGGAAAATTTATAACAAAGCCGGTTCTGTACGATGAATATGGCAACCCACGCCGAAGGTGCAATATTCGTGCTCGTTAAAATTCGACCTCCGTTCATTAAAATCACGTAACGACATGTCGACGGTAAGAGGTTCGTTAAATCGGAGTATTGGTCCAAAAATAACGGCGATTCGATTTAGAATAAAAAAAATTAAAAATATTTAAATAAACGGCAATTAGTTAGAACTAAAAAAAATTGTTCCAGAAAATAATGTGGCCAACCATTTTAACCACTTCAAAATTCTTTTCGCATTAAGATATTCAGATTGAATTTTAGAATTCAAATGCCACAAAATTTAAAAATATCGTTTCACTTTACGAATATTGTGTTCTAATACTGGTGTTTATTAGTGAAAACTGTTCTCGCAGCACATTATTCCAGTCATAAAATACAAGTACAAAATATATATTATTGAACAACAATAATAACGAAAAAAATAAATCCTGCAAAAGTATTGGCACTAATATGAAATTTTTGATTTATTTTTATGTCCTTTTTACAATTTCAAGTTTTTTTAAAAGCTTCTTGATAATTTCACTTTTTGTTTTATAGTTGGTCCCATATGCAGCAAAACCGCTAAACGCAGTTTGACTTGAGCGGCAAGGGAACAAAATAATCATTTTGCATGTTCTGAAAATGGTCACACAAATTCATTTTTGGAGTAAATTGGATGATCAAGATTTATCTCGTCAGGTAACTCTTCAGATTTTAAAAAATTGTTTTAATAAAAGGCAATAGAAATTAGCCAAGAAATATATACAGGCTGCTCCGAGTTATCAATTTCTGGGCTGTTACATCGCACATTTGACCTTCGGATTGAGTTATGCAGTCGCTAATGACGGGTAACAGATCAAAACGAAAGTTACTTTTCTAAGGGGTTTCCGAGTAAAACAATAAGCACATCGTTAAAAGTAAAAATTAAGCTAGCTATTACCACATCCCATCATACTTCTAACCACCAGATTTAATATACAAGTGTATTCTCTAGCAAGGTTTCGAAAATTTACTCTCATTTTCTTTAACTGGGAAACTTTTTGGCACTTTCGTTGCATTTTTTAATTTTAACAATATATATTTTTATGTTGGTGCTCTGAGTCAGAAACCAAAATTACATTCGGCTAATAAAAATAGACCTGAGGTTTATGTATGTGTTTAGCTTCCATTTCAATTTTAATTAATTATGACTAATAACTTGGAAATGTGACTCTGATTAATTTTATAAAAGAAATTTACCTAGGCCACAAAAATAATGAAGAAATCAATATAACTACCAAGTTCCCAGCCCAAATACGTATATAAAGGGACGGATATGATTTCATTCTCTACATTAATACTCATTATCAACACCTTAAAGTTTATGTACAAACCAGTCCTTATGTCACATATGCAGTCCTAGTTTTTGAATAAGGAAAGATCTTAGAATCTACGTTTGCTTTATTGTTCTAAACAAATTGTTAGTTTAAACAATTAGGTTGAATTAATATATTAATACGAGTTAATTATAAACAAATGGCAAAAGAAACAGTAACTAAGGAATTTCTATATATCATCTGCATGATCAAATAGCCCAGAAATAGGCACAGTCTTTAGATTAAGAATATAAGATAAAAAACGCGTACTGCGCTTGAAGGCTTACGGTATGCGTCTATATTCCGACAAACTTTAGGATTTAATAAATTAAAGTTGCAACGAAATTGGCTCCGAAATTGCCTCGCGATTCCTTTGACGCTGCCACAATAAACAACACTTTATCCATTTTAATATAATTAAAATCATCTTAACGAAAATAACTTTGTTCTTCCTTGCTTAAACGCTCCATTTCATCCGGGGGCTTAAGCGTATGCGCGGCGTCTTTGACTTATACCACACGAAAATGTAATAAACGTGGTAAATTAGGCTCATGTAGATTACTAAGTTTTAAAGTAATAAATACCGAAAACTTGGGCGGGAGAGTTTCGAACGTATAAGACTTCGGTCTACTCGGCCCCGCTTTATATCATTCCGGTCGACCTGGCCGTAGAAGAGATTTAATGCCCGAATTTTCAAACGATCTTCTCGATATTGCACGTTGAACCAGCAGCGTGCGCTCGCTAAACTTTTCTTTTGGTTTATACGAAAACTTTCCGTATACTTGGGAAATGCGTGCAATATGCACTCTTATTGTGCGGGTTCAAAGTTCACAAATCGAAAAAACTCAAACTACTAAAGACAAAACATCTATGTTAAATTACGTCAGTATAAAAGTTCTAACGACAGTGAAATTATTCATACAAAAATTTTATGATAATAAAATGGATAGACTGAAAGATTCTTAGGACTAGTGATTTGTTCCATATATATTCTATTTTTAACGTTTTTGAAGAAACGGTTTATCTTTTCCAAAGATCAATATTGTTTGATATTTGAAAAATGAAGTTAAAGATATTTCTAATTTTAATCTAGTATTTAAAATAGATATTTTAAAATGTTCCGCATTTATTGCCCGCTTTTTGAATTTTATCCTCCCCTTAGGGAGGGATTACAATCGTTCAAAAATCAAAAAGAAAGAAGATTGATACGGCATTTTATGTTAGCAAATAAGAAATTTTCTATAGTATTTACATTTTTCTTCAAGACTTTGTTTGGTGCTGTATTTAACTAAAAACATTTTCTCATTGCATTTATTTAAAATAAGTTCAGTAATTTTCATAAAAAAAATTGTTTCAAAGATCAGAAGTAGCAGTTGTCAATTGTGGCATCCGGAGCCAAAACCAAACGAGCTTTTGTTAAAGAAAAAATGACACGTTTGAAGAAGTAATGATTGAAAATTGTCGTTACTGTTTCAAATAAACTTAATGTGGAAAAAGCTACATATTAAAGTCAAAATAAGTTTTATATGATGTGATCTCGTAAAAACCAACAAATCCTACACCAAAACCCAACATCAATCCCTAAGCTGAAAGTAATATTGAGATATATTGATATTCTCCTAGTGAAAAAAATATACAAAAGCCAGCCGAATGCTTGAATTACGAAGAGAAACATAGCCGTTGGTAAAAATAAAATCCAATAGGCGAAATCGTTTCCATTTCCATATAAAATATTTAACGGCCATCTTTAAGGATACGGGAACGGATAAGGGCTCGACTAAAGCGTCGTAGAAGTTAGAAATTTTTACGCGATTCAATTCGACAATTCCGGACCTTTCGGAGATATATGACCGGATTATGGATGCGTGGCGGCAGCTACTTTTTTATTTTTTATGGTCCGCTTCCTCTGCGTAAGTCTTATCGCTAAAGAAAAATCGAACGGACCTTTTTTGGTGGCCCCGGGAGATTTTTTTAAATGTAAAGAATGAATGGATCGAGTCGGGATTAGCCTTTTCCTCTTGCTTTCCTCTTTGTTCAGCACCGAAGTGTTTAGTTACGTCATTTATGTTCGCAGGTGGGTGTGACAATTCAGCTGATTTAGAGGGAGACCCGAATGGTCTCAAAATATAGAAATCGTAAATTTTGTATACCGGATGTTTTAAATTCGACCACTTCTGTAGCTCGCTCTGATAATATTCCCTTGGAAAACTGGTCTTATATTTAAGTAGTTAAGAGGAAATCTATTAAAATTCCTTAAAAGATTTAGTATTTCCGGCACTCTCATCAATTCAAGTTTCAGTAGTTGAAGAGTATTAGGAAATTGTGGAGATTAGGCACGTGGCGCAGGATTTAATAGTACGGAAGACTTAACATGTCGAGAATGACGTATAAGCATTTTTAAGAATCAATTTTTCAAACTCTTTAAATTTTTTTTGTATTTTGTGCTTAGATCTGTTAGATGTTGTAAAGCTTATCAATCCGATAAATAAATATATTTATTACCACATTCGTTTTAGTATAATATATATATATATATATATATATATATATATATATATATATATATATATATATATATATATATATATATATATATATATATATATATATATATATATATATATATATATTCTCACGTATTGATTCACGGATGGAAAAATGTGATGACACTATATTCCGGGATATCATCCGTTCGCTCGTTGAACTCCGACTGGAATCCTGCATCCGACTGGAATCCTGCAGACGTTTCGCCAAAATCTCACTTGGCATCTTCAATGCTCGCGCTCCGAAAACAGTGTTCGAAGTGTTTTCGGAGCGCGAGCATTGAAGATGCCAAGTGAGATTTTGGCGAAACGTCTGCAGGATTCCAGTCGGATGCAGGATTTGCAGGATTCCAGTCGCAGTTCAACGAGCGAACGGATGATATCCCGGAATATAGTGTCATCATATATATATATATATATATATATATATATATATATATATATATATATATATATATATATATATATATATATATATATATATATATATATATATATATATATATATATATATATATATATATATATATATATATATATATATAAATTTTGGCTTTTATTAAAACCAACAGCATAAAAATGTTTGAAGACATGGAAAACAGTAGATGAGAAAAACGTATATCCCCATTCAACTTACTCGCCATATTTGCAGTACCGTTACACTACATTATGATTTTGCAAGAACCAAAACGAGAGAAAAAGGCTGTATTACATTGAAACACATTTCTCATGACGTAAACAGAACAAAACTGTATTACACACAACTGGCCGGCATTATAGTTTATGTTCCTCCGGCAAGTTTACTTCATTAAAACTTCCAAGTACGCCCGTATTTAAGTTGAAGCAAAGTTTCCGGAATTACTGTAATGTATACGCGATTAAGTACAAGAACTGCTTCATTAAAACTGTTTTTGTTATGGATTTCCTTCATTACCTTCGCCCTGTATAAGACGCGTCGACGTCGGGCGAAAATTATTTAAACGCCCCCAAAACTATTTAATTAAACGGAAACTTACCTCTATGTCTATTCGTTTGTTTGTCGAACATGAGCATCGCGTCTTCGATCTGAAACGGAAAAACAGCATTAAGAGCGGCAGAAAAGTGACGTTTTTTGGACAAGATTGCACAGGATTTTTCGAAAAATTTTAAACAAAAACGTGTTTTTCGCATAATACACAGAATTCACATGGTTTACAAATCTACAAAAGTTGTAAAAAGAGATTCATTTTCCCAGAAAACAACAGCAGCAAAAAGAAAACTGAATTGTTGAGAATTCGGTTCTTAAACGATTAACATTTTTATTATGTAAAATAGTAAAGTAACATGATTGATTACTGACACTATTTTTATGAATTTAACTCCTCTTTTTAGAAAACCATGTAGCAACATCAACTTAAATACTTTTTTAAAAGCATACTACACATTATAAAAAGTATGGTACAACCAATGTACTTAAAGTCACACATCAAACAAATTATTCAAGTGTTTCGAATGTTCTAACGCGTTAATGTTTGTTTATGGTTAAAGTTTGCGAAATCTTAATAAGTAGATAGATGCATTTTAAGGAATCAGTGAGGGAAAGCAGTAAGAAACTAAAATAAGGAACAATGTTGATTCCAATACGTCCAAGTACTTTTCAAGATTTAATGTTACTTTTAGTTTCTCGTTAATTAGCAATAAAATTTAATTATAGATTAGATATTTGGCAAAAAACGAACTAGAAATCTTCCAGCGTTTAACTTATATGTAGTTTCAAAAAAATTCAATGCATTTTAACCATTTTATTGAAACGAATAAAAATTTTTCAAATATCCAAAAATTCATTCCAAAAATCAGCAACCAATAAATCGATTTTACCATAAAAGAATGATTTTTTTGCACTAGTACAGCATATTAAGGTATTGCGGTGCACGGTGCGGCTTCAAATTTGGAGTCCAGAATCTATATGCCCAAAATTTCGGTTAGAAGCAATGTTCGTAAGAACAAATGTTAATCTTTGCTGTACATGTTTGAGATAGATTACTAGATAGGGGACAACATAGTCATTAGTAATGAGTCAAATTTAGTTATTATATTAGAATAGAAGGAACATTTAATTTTCCGTCACAAGATTTTCGACCTTTTTTGTCTGCCACTGATTTTCGCACAGAAAGTTTTTTTTAGGAATATTTTCGCTGCTATTATGTCTTCTAATCTGTTATTTTTCCCGCTTTTTTATGCTTTTATTATTGACACGACCTGGCAGTTTCGTAAGGAAACGGAGTTATATCGAATATTTTAGGATGCTAATAATAGTTAATGGAGATAATACGAAGATCTGCACCAAATTTACAGGTTTCCGAGACATATTTAAACAAGAAAATGTAGGAAGCTCTTCGGTAATTCTATGAGGTGTTGTGTACCCATTGTGTGTGCGCAGCTCGTTACTCGATAAATCGCGGATCCTACATTTATACTCGCAAAGATTCGCACTCGCAACAACCTACCAAATTGGAACATTGCTTACGTGCCAGTCAAGAGGCGACACTCGCGTTAGACTCGTTATTTAATTGTTTGTCATCGTAATTCGCTTCCCTTTTATGAGCATTGCTGGCGTGAACACATTTTCTCTTCTATACCAACTCGCCAAATCGCGGTCTACAACATCGTTTACTGGCGAGAATTAATTATTCTTGTCTTGTCTTGTTATGGTCATAGTAAATCGACTTATTCAGGAAAGATGATGATCGCGCCACGAAGTAATGAGAGCTTATCTATAATAATAGATAAATAAAAAAATAAAATAAATCAAGCAAAAATATTTTTCATCATTGTTACTGCTTAAGCTAAGTAAGGTTCAAAAAAATAAATTCATAGAAAAATCAGTAATCCTTTTATGTAAAATTGGTATTAAGAATATTTAGTGCGAATTTGAGGGTGAGGGCTTAAAATCACTGATCACTAATCCTCCCTCTCGCACTTTTTAAATTTCACTCTCTTTATAAAGCAAAAAGGAAGAAGATTTAAAACTGCCTTTTCTTTAAACCTCCGCCAGAGTTTTTAAAAAAAAATAGACAAGTGAGAAATCTAAAACAAAAACATTAATTAATGATAATCGACCAGGTCGCTCCAATATCCCTTTTTCATTCTACGTATAATTTTCATGACAATATTAGCACTGTGAGGTCTGTAAATTTCAGAAATTGAAATATATTCTATATAAAAAGAAAAAGTAAAGTTTTATTCTTAAATAACATAATTCTCAATCATTGATGAAATACTTGCACGTGAACCATGTCATGCCATAAGATTGTAGATTTGATTTTATCCTAATACTATTAATAAATTATCAAAAGGAAAACATTTTCATTTTTAAATTCTTCAAAAAATTTCACGTATTCCCATCACGTTTTAGATGTTGCGTTTTATTTAGATTGTGTTAGAACTTAGTGGGATTGTCTATTTCGATATTTAAGGCCGTCTGATTTACCATTAAAAATTAAACCCCCATAATTTTTTCCGTCCAAGATATCCGCTACCCCTCTCTATGTTCGTTTGTTTTTAATACTTTGCTCCTAGCATAATGAGTTTTAAAGAATGTAATATCGATTCTGATCGAATTCTGGCATGAACTTGTCCGTAACTGCCAGCACAAAATTCATCTTGAAATAGTCTTGAAAAAATTTCCATTGTTGTTCTATAGCAAAAGATATTCTCGACTTCCCCTGTAAAATTGACATGCATAATCAAATCCCAATTAAAAAGTTCCATGGAAGAGCGGAAAAAATAAAACCTAATTTTAAATAAAACGCGAAATTGTCCGCGTGGCATTATACAGCGGAAATTCCTTTTATTATTCCGCCAATTCCAATTTCTGTTACATTCAATCCCGAAAACAATATTCCGGCGTCCGTTGCCAATAGTCTGAAATCAAATCTATCCGTTTTAATTTATTTCCGAGCCAATTCATAAACCGGCCGAAAACCAATTTGAATCCATCTGCTTTTCGCGAAATGCCTCCTGACGTTCGTTCCGATTAAAAAATTGCCGGTTGTGTACCAAGAGTATCAAATGACACCATTCTAACAATGGGAACGGATAAAAAACAAATTGAATGTCAACGGAACGTTATTTTGAGTAGAGTCTGACTGTTTTGGAATGGAAACCTGGACATGCTTTAGTTCTTCTGACAATAAAATACCATTAGTGAAACCTTTGTCTCTCTATAAATTATTTGCGGTAAGATATCGGTATGCATATAATTCACCAAATTATTATTCTGATGGTTCTTCAGTCCAATAAAGTTTGGAACGGAAGCCCTTTTGACCAAGAAGTCGGTGCTGAATGCTTATTCTCCTTGAAGCAACTAAAAACTTTAACGACTGATGCTTTGACGAGGTCACTATCAGTTCTGACGAAACGTGGGTTATACAGTGACCTTCTAATGGGTAAATGTACTTAGCAATATCATGTACACAGTGCTGTCCGGGAGCTTGGTGCTCTCAAAATCTCAAATATGTCTTTTTGAAATGTTTACTGATGTCACTAAAATGAAAGGCCCCTTGTCAATAATTTTGCCTTTTCAAAATAAATATAACAGATATAATAACAATTTATACGTTATGATTTTATAATAGGTTAAATTATTATTGGTCCCTAAAGGAACTAAAGAACCGGATCATAAATTTGTCTAAGCTTTTCCTGAGTATTAAATCACATATATTTTTTCAATCTAGCAGGGAACACAAATTAGGAAGATAGCTGTCAGAATCGAGAAAACATTGCCTTCACTGGAACACCGAGCAAAAATACTAACCGTTAAAAGAGGATTTTTTTTGCGTTAGTCCCGAAGAAAAAAAATGAACGTTTCATTAATTTAAGTAGATTTTAATTATGGCGAAAAACAATTTTCTTTTTATGGCAAAGCTTACGAAAAGGCGACAAGCTCTCGACGGTAAAACTCTTTCGGGTTCAAAGTAATTGGGCCGTTCCCTTTTATTTATTTGTGTAGGGGTTCCTTAAAAAACGTTGTGCGGAGGAGGCTCGTTTCGGGAGAGCTTATCATTATTTTTTTGTCGTAGAATCAATTTTATTTCCTTCTGCTAAATGCCTCACTTTGGTATAGAAAATTAGGAACCGAAAATAACAAAATTAAAAAGCCGCAAACCTTTTTACTATTGCTCGCTTTATAATTTTATGTGTGTGATATGTGAAAAACTAAAACATTTTAATTATTAAATAATGAAACTATTGTAATGTATGATGAAGGTGGAAAACCAGGAATTTGAACATCCATTCTCTATGTATTTGAATAACATTTAAATGGATTTACTTCAGGACGGTTAAACAGGTGCAACAAAACTATGCCAAACTATAGGATAGGTGTAGTGCGTCCACCTGTGGAAGATGCTCTCCCTCTCTTAACAATGCTATATGTGACGAATAGCAGCAACATAAAGTCACCAGCAAGGGTGTATCAACCAAGCACCATGTGAATAAGGTATTACTCTGTACTCTATAGTAATATGTTATAAATCTAATGTGAGTTATTTCCCATTGTATTTAAGATTTACAGAATTTTTATGGAGGATAGCATTTGTTTACTTCATTAAAAATAAGGAGTCTCACTTACATTGGAAACCTTCTTGTGTAATTCATTAGTTGCTCAATAAGAAAACTCAACATTTGAGTTCAATTTTTGAGTCACTAAAAGGTAAAAATCTTTGACAAATATGAAAACAAAGTATCAATTGTAGCCTTTCTCTTTAATTCCAATAATCGCGAGCGACAATAGCTGCATAACTTGGTGGTGTTTGGGTTTCCATATACAATAAATTTTTTTATAAATTATAATTAAATTCATTAGAAAAAAGTAGAGTGCCTTATAGTAAAGTAACCTTTAGCATTTCATGGAGACTAGTTTCTGGATATATTTTATAAAATTTATTTTAATCATGTTTAAAAAAGTGTATTTAACAAAGATATCCCAAGAGAGATATACAAAATCACCTCAAAGTCTATTATTTAAAATGGAAAATGATATTCTCAATTCTTTCAAAAGAATAAAGAAAGCTTAAAAGTTTAAA